CATTATTCTTCAGGTTTTAAATGCTAGGTTGGTAAATTTTTTAAAATTATTTTATCACTTTCATTGGACTATGCTTTTCGTTATTACCTTTTATGTCATACGATGTTCATTAATTTATTGATATTTTCTATTTGATGCTTGCCAGATCTTGGATCTGGAGATGCTTCTTGCTTAATTATTGTCTCAGTTGCTTTTAATTGCTGGCGTCTTAGAATTCCGTTATCCTGAAAATACAGAAATAAAAAAGAATTAACTTTGTTCAAATTTTAAGAACTCTAAGTGCTGAAAAAAAATTTGTCACGACGGTGTAGCGTTTTCTTCTTTTAAAGGCATAAAAATTAATATAAACAAATAAAAAAAAATACCTTCATTTTTGGTTGAAGTCCTCGTTGTCTTTCAAATGTATTGACTCAGCGATTTCTTCTCATCCTTTTGCACCAAACTCTTATTCGCAGAATAATAATCAATTCATGGAAGGATTAGCAATGAACAGACACTTTGCTGCTTCAATTTAATGCTGGTCCAGATCAAAATTATGCTACATCGTCATCAAGTCAGTAGAAGGAATGTTTACGTGTTCAAATATTTTTAACTTTTTGCTGCGATAATTCCTCATTTTTGTTTTGGATATTCATTATCCTTTAGGTTTTAAATGCTAGGTTGTTAAATTTTTTAAAATTCATTTGTCACTTTCATTGGACTATACTTTCCGTTATTACCTTTTATGTCATACGATGTTCATTAATTTATTGATATTTTCTATTTGATGCTTGCCAGATCTTGGAACTGGAGATGCTTCTTGCTTAATTATTGTCTCTGTTGCTTTTTACTGCTGACGTCTTAGAATTCCCTTATCTTGAAAATACAGAAAGAATAAAGAATTAATTTTGTCCAAATTTTAAGAACTCTAAGTGCTGAAAAAAATTTGGCAGGACGGTAGAGCGTTTTCTTCTTTTAAAGGCATAAAAATGAATATAAACAAATAAAGAAAAATAACCTTCATTTTTGGTTGAAGTCATCGTTGTCTTTCAAATGTATTGACTCAGCGATTTCTTCTCATCCTTTTGCACCAAAGTCTTATTCACAGATTGATGATCAACTCATGGAAGTATTGGCAATGAACAAACACTTTGCTGCTTCAAGTTACTGCTGATCCAGATCAAAATTATGCTACATCGTCATCAAGTCAGTAGAAGGAATGTTTACGTGTTCAAATATTTTTAACTTGTTGCTGCGATAATTCCTCATTTTTGTTTTGGATATTCATTATTCTTCAGGTTTTAAATGCTAGGTTGGTAAATTTTTTAAAATTCATTTGTCACTTTCATTGGACTATACTTTTCGTTATTACCTTTTATGTCATACGATGTTCATTAATTTATTGATATTTTCTATTTGATGCTTGCCAGATCTTGGAACTGGAGATGCTTCTTGCTTAATTATTTTCTCAGTTGCTTTTAATTGCTGACGTCTTAGAATTCCCTTATCCTGAAAATACAGAAATAATAAAGAATTAATTTTGTTCAAATTTTAAGAACTCTAAGTGCTGAAAAAAATTGGGCAGGACGGTGGAGCGTTTTCTTCTTTTAAAGGCATAAAAATGAATATAAACAAATAAAAAAAAATACCTTCATTTTTGGTTGAAGTCCTCGTTGTCTTTCAAATGTATTGACTCAGCGATTTTTTCTCATCCTTTTGCACCAAACTCTTATTCGCAGATTGATGATCAACTCATGGAAGGATTAGCAATGAACAGACACGTTGCTGCTTCAATTTAATGCTGGTCCAGATCAAAATTATGCTACATCGTCATCAAGTCAGTAGAAGGAATGTTTAAGTGTTCAAATATTTTTAACTTGTTGCTGCGATAATTCATTATTTTTGTTTTGGATATTCATTATTCTTCAGGTTTTAAATGCTAGGTTGGTAAATTTTTTAAAATTCATTTGTCACTTTCATTGGACTATACTTTCCGTTATTACCTTTTATGTCATAAGATGTTCATTAATTTATTGATATTTTCTATTTGATGCTTGCCAGATCTTGGAACTGGAGATGCTTCTTGCTTAATTATTGTCTCAGTTGCATTTAACTGCTGACGTCTTAGAATTCTTTTATCCTGAAAATACAGAAAGAATAAAGAATTAATTTTGTCCAAATTTTAAGAACTCTAAGTGCTAAAAAAAAAATTTGGCAGGATGGTGGAGCGTTTTCTTCTTTTAAAGGCATAAAAATGAATATAAACAAATAAAGAAAAATAACCTTCATTTTTGGTTGAAGTCCTTGTTGTTTTTCAAATGTATTGACTCAGCGATTTCTTCTCATCCTTTTGCACCAAACTCTTATTCACAGATTGATGATCAACTCATGGAAGTATTGGCAATGAACAAACACTTTGCTGCTTCAAGTTACTGCTGATCCAGATCAAAATTATGCTACATCGTCATCAAGTCAGTAGAAGGAATGTTTACGTGTTCAAATATTTTTAACTTGTTGCTGCGATAATTCCTCATTTTTGTTTTGGATATTCATTATTCTTCAGGTTTTAAATGCTAGGTTGGTAAATTTTTTAAAATTCATTTGTCACTTTCATTGGACTATACTTTTCGTTATTACCTTTTATGTCATACGATGTTCATTAATTTATTGATATTTTCTATTTGATGCTTGCCAGATCTTGGAACTGGAGATGCTTCTTGCTTAATTATTTTCTCAGTTGCTTTTAATTGCTGACGTCTTAGAATTCCCTTATCCTGAAAATACAGAAATAATAAAGAATTAATTTTGTTCAAATTTTAAGAACTCTAAGTGCTGAAAAAAATTGGGCAGGACGGTGGAGCGTTTTCTTCTTTTAAAGGCATAAAAATGAATATAAACAAATAAAAAAAAATACCTTCATTTTTGGTTGAAGTCCTCGTTGTCTTTCAAATGTATTGACTCAGCGATTTTTTCTCATCCTTTTGCACCAAACTCTTATTCGCAGATTGATGATCAACTCATGGAAGGATTAGCAATGAACAGACACGTTGCTGCTTCAATTTAATGCTGGTCCAGATCAAAATTATGCTACATCGTCATCAAGTCAGTAGAAGGAATGTTTAAGTGTTCAAATATTTTTAACTTGTTGCTGCGATAATTCATTATTTTTGTTTTGGATATTCATTATTCTTCAGGTTTTAAATGCTAGGTTGGTAAATTTTTTAAAATTCATTTGTCACTTTCATTGGACTATACTTTTCGTTATTACCTTTTATGTCATACGATGTTCATTAATTTATTGATATTTTCTATTTGATGCTTGCCAGATCTTGGAACTGGAGATGCTTCTTGCTTAATTATTGTCTCAGTTGCATTTAACTGCTGACGTCTTAGAATTCTTTTATCCTGAAAATACAGAAAGAATAAAGAATTAATTTTGTCCAAATTTTAAGAACTCTAAGTGCTAAAAAAAAAATTTGGCAGGATGGTGGAGCGTTTTCTTCTTTTAAAGGCATAAAAATGAATATAAACAAATAAAGAAAAATAACCTTCATTTTTGGTTGAAGTCCTTGTTGTTTTTCAAATGTATTGACTCAGCGATTTCTTCTCATCCTTTTGCACCAAACTCTTATTCACAGATTGATGATCAACTCATGGAAGTATTGGCAATGAACAAACACTTTGCTGCTTCAAGTTACTGCTGATCCAGATCAAAATTATGCTACATCGTCATCAAGTCAGTAGAAGGAATGTTTAATTGTTCAAATATTTTTAACTTGTTGCTGCGATACTTTCTAATTTTTGTTTTGGATATTCATTATTCTTCAGGTTTTGAATGCTATGTTAATAATTTTTTTAAAATTATTTTGTCACTTTCATTGGACTATACTTTTCGTTTTTACCTTTTATGTCATACGATGTTCATTAATTTATTGATATTTTCTATTTGATGCTTGCCAGATCTTGGAACTGGAGATGCTTCTTGCTTAATTATTGTCTCAGTTGCTTTTAATTGCTGACGTCTTAGAATTCCGTTATCCTGAAAATACAGAAATAAAAAAGAATTAAATTTGTTCAAATTTTAAGAACTCTAAGTGCTGAAAAAAAATTTGGCACGACGGTGGAGCGTTTTCTTCTTTTAAAGGCATAAAAATGAATATAAACAAATAAAAAAAAAATACCTTCATTTTTGGTTGAAGTCCTCGTTGTTTTTTAAATGTATTGACTCAGATATTTCTTCTCATCCTTTTGCACCAAACTCTTATTCACAGATTGATGATCAACTCATGGAAGTATTGGCAATGAACAGACAAGTTGCTGCTTCAATTTAATGCTGATCCAGATCAAAATTATGCTACATCGTCATCAAGTCAGTAGAAGGAATGTTTAAGTGTTCAAATATTTTTAACTTGTTGCTGCGATAATTCCTAATTTTTGTTTTGGATATTCATTATTCTTCAGGTTTTAAATGCTAGGTAATAGGTTGGTAAATTTTTTGAAATTCATTTGTCACTTTCATTGGACTATACTTTTCGTTATTACCTTTTATGTCATACGATGTTCATTAATTTATTGATATTTTCTATTTGATGCTTGCCAGATCTTGGAACTGGAGATGCTTCTTGCTTAATTATTGTCTCAGTTGCTTTTAATTGCTGACGTCTTAGAATTCCGTTATCCTGAAAATACAGAAATAAAAAAGAATTAAATTTGTTCAAATTTTAAGAACTCTAAGTGCTGAAAAAAAATTTGGCACGACGGTGGAGCGTTTTCTTCTTTTAAACGCATAAAAATTAATATAAACAAATAAAAAAACTAGTAAAGAGGTGGTCACTCGTGACCGACCGAAGCGCATTTTCCCCGCACAGAATTCGTAAATAGTATACAAATATATATTCAAATCTTCAGATTGAATGTTCATCATATTTTCATGAAAATAAAACAAAATTTCACTGTTCATCATATATTTTTATTCATATAGTTTTCCAAAATTTTTTTTGTTCTTCAAAGTTTCTAAAATATTATGTCTAAATTTAAATATTTTGATTCATTAAACAAATATTAAAATAGTAAGTTGATAGTAATCGCATTTATGTTAGTTGAAATTTATGTCATTTGTTGGTTGTTCTCTAATTTCCATGTACTCGGCAATGTCCGGTTTAATACGAATAACGATAGGCTTGTGGTGACTGAAGAAGCTCTCATAAATTGTACATTCATAGGAAAAGTCCTTTAATCGTCCGAAAATTGCATCAATTGTTGTTCCTGCATTAGTCGTTGGTTCAATTTTCGACAACATGTGTAAATTCTTGCCCCTAAAAAAGTCGATAATATTTGTCTTGGGATTCTTGTAAATATTAACAAGAGTAATATTAGAGATTATGCATGAAGTTATTTCGATTCGTTCTACGTTCTTTTCGAAGCAGAATTTCTGATGAGGCTGAGCCATCTGACTGGCTTCAGCAAAAATCATTGTTCCTCTTGGTTGTGGACGAATGTTGATATCATTTCGCTGGATTTCTTCCTTAATTCCAATTTCGAATCTTTCGTTAGTCATTGCCCATATTTCTTGAAAAAACAGAACATGACTATTCATGAACACAGCATCACTTTTGACGGAATCAATGTGTTTGCGAATCGATTGCACGTTGAATGAGACAATTTGAATCTCATTTGCTGGTACTATCTTGAGGTGTTGAAACTTAGGTATGAACTGTGCGGTATCTCGTAGTCTCTTCATTTCTATAACAACAGGATCATCATCCCGAGGTGGAGTTGGAGGAATAAATCGTCCAATTATGTGAAGTCCATCAAGCGTCTTAGCACGTGAGAAAGCTACGTAGATAAGTTGTCTGGTCATTCTTGGAACTAAAACTACTGTGACACTTTCTAATGTCGATCCTTGAGACTTATGAATTGTGTATGCCTCTGCTGGTACCAATGGATACTGTTCACGTACAACCTAATAAAATAAAATAAAATAAAAAAAAGTTAATATTTGGCGAACATCAACAACATCATTATAAAATTACCTGAGCAGGATTCTTAGTCACATGAAAGGTAAGTTTGACTCTGGTAATTGGAGTCCATGCTGTGTCAATTGCTGTTGTCGCTTCCATGATTCCTCGTCTAACTGATCGTGCCTTCCTTCCTATGCTTGCGTCTTCAAACTTTAGATAAATTGCTTCAAGCTGACCTAGAAATGAAAAAAAAGAAAAATAAATGAATAACCATATTATTGATAGGTTTGTAAGTTGAAATTTACCTCCTTTAAATTCCATAAACATTAATTCACCTACTGCACCATTGTAAAGTCCATCCGCAACATCAATATTTGTTGTGATCATATACTTTACTCCTTTTTGCAGCAATAATTCAGTCATTAGTCCTTGAGTTTGTCGATAGCTTAAATTTTGCAAATTAAAACGAACTTGCCTTTTCTCTACTTCTGAATTTGCTCCAGTGATTTTGTCTACGGCACGAAATGTTATTGCTGTTGAGTTTGGGCCACGAAGTTCTTGTATACGACGGCTATTGTGTTCTTCTACTAATGCATTCTGCCAAATCAAATGACAACTCTTCTTTCCTTTATCTGGTAATAATTTATCTCCTGCTTTCAAGTCTCTAGGGTTTTCAACAAAGGTTCTTGTTTTTATTAAATTGATGTCACTTTGAGTTAATTTGCCCTTGGCAAGTCGTCCTAGTAATTGTGCGAATATTAAATCATCACGTTGCCGCATGATTTCAGTCAACTCAAATATTTTAAATTTTTCCCATAATGGATTTCCAAAAAGATGACTCAAACTGTTTCTGCTAGTTCCAAAAATAAAACTGTCATTGACAGGTCGCAGCTGCTGGAAATCACCAAATGTAATGATTGAACGACCGCCAAATTCCTTTTTTGTTTGAAATACTTGCATCAATCGGTTATTAATTTTCTCAAATGTACTTAATCCCATCATTGAAATTTCATCAATTATTATCAGTTTTAAGTTCTTCAATTTCACTCTTAAAGTATTCAATGCTTCTGGGGAAATACTGTTTGAATGTTCTTGATTTCTCTCGGTCATTATAAGACTAAATGCTGTATGAGCTGTTAATCCATTAACGTTGTGTGCTGCTTTACCTGTAAATGCAGTTATCAATATCTCCGGTGTGACTACAGGACCTGGTTCTCGATTGAAATGTCTCATCAATGCTTGATACAACACTTTGATTAGTCTACTTTTGCTTCGCCCGAAACAAAGTGGTATAACGGCAGTTCATTGAGTTTAAATGCGTTGAGAACATGCATCAAATGGTCGTGTTGTTTTGAATTCAGTGAATTAATAAGCTCATAATAATCTTGATCAGAAACTAAATCAGGCACTGTAATTTTGTTCCTTTCAATTGATGTTGAAAGCGTACTCTCTAATCCCATCTCAAACATAGCATTAGGCTGTATAATGTTGTCGTCAAAATCGTAGACGTTCAAATGCTGTTCATGATCTTGATCTTCATTTTGATCATTTGATTCATCTTCTTCGCAAGCCAGCTCTTCTTCAATCGTTCGAGCTAAATCATTCAAATCAATGTCCAGCTTGATGTATCGAGAGCTGTTTGCTTCAACTAATTCTTTATTCTGATTGTAAATTTCCTCAAGATTCAAGTTATCATTTTCAAGTTCCAGTGCTTCATCTCGCCAAGGCTTGAACAGCATCAGTCTTTCTCGATAGAAATTGTTACGATCTTTGTGGACATTATAACGACAGAATCTAATAATTTTAATTTGCTTTCGTTTTCTAATTGTTCCTCCTTCAATCTCATAAACAACTTTAAATTCACTACTTTCATCTTCTTCATTATTATTTTGATTATCGTCGATTGATTCAACTAAATGATCATCTTGCTCGATATTTTCCTCGTCCATTTCTTCATTTGTTTTCTTTCCATTGAATGTGAACTTTCCAATGAAATCGGCTAGACACAAATCTTTTAGTGATTCTGGCCGTTCCTTATATCGGTCAATTGAACCCTTTTTGTAAATATCAGTGCTGTCTTCTGGAAGTTTTCTCAACTCTGCTTTTGACTTCATTATACGATGTCTCGACTGTAATAAAGTAATAAAAAATTATTTAAAAAAAACTTTATTTAGAAAAATATAATTTTACCTTCATAGGTCCCGTATTGATAAACTCTACTGCTGAACTACTGTATGACATTGGTAGTCGCAAACGACACCACGCTGCTTCTTGCGCAGAAATTTCTGTTCCATTATAATAAGTACATGAAAGCTTTTTGATTTTCTCTCTTAATGAATAATTGCCACCTTTGAACTCTTCCACACATGCACGTAACAGTCTTGAAATTCCCCGACTCGGTTTATTAATGTACTCAACTATATATCCAATACACGCATACGGATCCAGCACAAATTGAACGTCAATATTTGATTGCATAAGCATAAGAATTTTCTTTGAGTAAGGATTGACTCTGGCATCTTTTGGAGCTCGTTTGATGAAGATTTTTGTTGCTTTCAGTTGACTTCGAATCGTTTTTATGTATTTGTCTCTGTCGCAATTCAATTTTCCAAGCAATTCGTCGAATGTTCCAATTGAATTTAAATCTCCCTAAAGAAGTTGATTCAGATTCTTAGTGATCGTGCGAAACCCATCTTGTTCACCGTCACTAAACACATAATCAGGTGGAAGTGGTTGAAGAATACTTGTGTTATCCATCGGAATAAATGGAGCTCCAAATCTGCAGCTTGTGTTGCCTCTCTTCTTCTTTTTGCAAGTTCGAGAACATTTGTGATACTGATATTTAACGAAATCTTTGGTATCCGGATCATCAGAACTTGTGCTTATTATGTTGTCAATAAATTCCTCGATATGACGAAATAAGTGCGGTTTATCGGCATCAAAAGTTGGTGCTTCATTAAGCCATAAAATCATATGAACATGTGGAGATCCACGGTGTTGAAACTCAATACGAAAATAGTGTTGAAGTATTTTGTACTTTCCAAATGGTCCTTCATCAGTAATTTTCCAGGTTTTAAATAATTCTTTAAATTTGTGCTCGAAATATAAGGAGCAAGTCACGGGATCAGTTCGTATCAGTCGAGATTTTTCTTCAAAGTCCATTTCTGTGACATCAGCATCATCTTCATTATCCACAGTTTTCTTGAGAATACGTAATAGCTCTTTCCAATGTGTTTCTGCAGCTGATAAAGTGACGAATAATGTAAACACTCCTAATCGACGCACCATTGCCATAACGTTCTTTTTTTGTTGCTCCCAATATGCAAGAGATCCAGTTATATTTGTTAGGAATCTATATGCATTATCTTTAGAAATGCTTTCATCGACGAAATTCGAGTTTAAAATTTGTGATGCTGTGACGCTTGAAGATTGTGCACACTTCTTCAAAGCAATATTAACATTGCTGCAAAGCTGTTTTAGTTGTGACTTCTTGTGCATAAATAATAAATGATCAGCTCTCACTGCACGACGATCACGTCTACGAATTTCACTGTTTACGTGGTCTTCATATGATAGCTTGACGTTTGGTGAATGTACTCGTTCATGGCCAAAGTAAATTGTTGGAAATGATAATTCTTCACAGTTGATATCTGTTAAGATTGATACTGGAACCTGTCCTTCACCTATTAATATGCAATGATTAGTACATAAAATTTGATTGTTTTATTTGTGATTAAAAACTTCATGCCAAAATTCGATGATTAAAATTGTGGACACCTGGAGCAAATTCAATTGCTTCGTTCGCATCTGAGAGAGTTTCTTCATAAAGTTGGTTCACTTCTTCATCAGCTCTTTGTGTCTCTGATTCTGGATCTGATTGGTTCTCTGTATCTTCATCCATTGGAGCTAGAAAACAAAGATTTTAAATTAATAAAAATTGAAAAGAAATTTTACTGCTGGCATTTCTTACCTTCATTTGAATCCGAGTTGAAAATGTCATTTGCTCCTTTTTTTTTTTTTTTTTTAAATTAAACTTTTTATTTATTTACATTTAAATTTAAGTATGTACAAAGTTTCTATACATTTTGTTGCTTTTTGTTTTAAGGTTTCAGGCATTCAATTTGCCTTTTGTCTCTTAATTTTGATTTCATTTACGGATTTTACTTTCTTTTGTATTTCATTTGATTTATTCGGTGTTTTGAGATGCAAGACGACTGTTGAAGTTCGCTTGCAACTTTCCGACGTAGTCTTCGATGGACGGTATTTTCGCTTCTGTATGAAGATCGGTGATCCTTTCACATCTTGTTTTATTGAGAACAATTCTCGAGAATTTGTTTTGCAGTACTTGAAGTTTTTGAAGATGGGTTTTTGCCATGCTTCCAAACGCTGGACAACCATATGTGAATATTGGTCTGATGGCTAGCTTGTAGATGAGAAGTTTGTTTAGTACGTCGAGTTGTGAGTTCCTGCTGATGAGCGGATAAAGCTGTCTTAATGCGGTGTGAGCCCTATTGGTCACATACTCCACATGCGGCTTTAATGTCACTCTCTTGTCGATCACCATTCCCAGATATTTAGCTTCTGTTTCCCATTTGATGTTTTCGTTGAGAAATTTGATGTTATTTCCTGGTAGTTGCCTGGAGTGCCTGTTTGTGATGAATAAGGCTTGAGTCTTCTGTTTGTTGAGGTTGATCTTCCATTTGTTCATGTATTGTTGAACTTTTCTTCCTGTGTGCTGTAGATGTGTCACAATATCGGCCGAGTTCTCTGCAGAATGATACAGTGCTGTATCATCTGCGAAAAGACCGATGTTGTTGGTTGTCTCTTACAACATCATACGTGAAGATGTTGTAGAGAGTTGGTGAAAGCACTGCTCCTTGTGGCACTCCGAATTTGATTACCTTGATTTCTGAGAACTGGCCTTTAATAAAAACTGCGAAAGATCTTTCACTGAGGAAAGATCTTACAGTTTTTATAAGTGGCAGTGGAAATCTCAGTTTGAGCATTTTGTACAAGATTCCGTTATGCCAGACTCTGTCAAATGCTTTTTCTACATCCAGGAAGATCATGCCTGTTGACTTTTTGTTGTTTAAGTTTTCTTTTGCTGATTTGATCACTTTGATGAGCTGGTGAGATGTTGATCTTCCAGTCCGGAAGCCGCACTGCTGGTTTGGGATGATGTTGTTATCCTCAAGATGATCGTTGATTCTATTCAGTAATACTCTCTCCAGTATTTTGCTTATTGAGCTGAGTAGACTTATTGGCCTGTAGCTGCTTAGCTCATTTGCTGGTTTTCCAGGTTTTGGAATAGGAATCACTTTTGCATGTTTCCAAACTTTGGGGAAGTGGTTGAGTTTCAGACACGAATTGATGATGAATTTCAAGTATTCGAAACCTTTTTCAGGAAGATTTTTGATGAGTATGTTGTTGACTTCATCTAGTCCCGGAGCTTTTGGATTTTTCAGATTTCTTATGATGCTCACGATTTCCTTTACATCTGTTAGTTCTGGATTCTCATCATTGTCTTGTTCCAATGCTTCTTTGACTGTGTTGTTTACTTCCTGTGTATGTTGTGGATCGTTTTGTTCCAGAGGATTTTCGTGAGCTTCACGAAAATACTCACTGAGTGCGCTGGCTTTTTCTTTGTTGGTGATGAACGTTTTACCCAGATTTGTCAATGGAGGCATTGTTTTTGAACCTTTTTTGCAAAATTTTGCTATTCTCCAAACTGTTTGGTTTGACGGTTGAATCTCTGAGAGACGCTTATTCCAGTTTTTGTTTTTGAGTTCTTTAATTTTCTCATTGATGACTCTCTGCAGATAATTCAATTCAGATTTGAGTTGATTATCTCTACTTCTCTGCCATCTTCGACGAAGACTCCTTTTTGTGTTGATTAGATCTTTAATCTCCGGTGTGAGTTTAGTTGATTCGAACTTGATCTTTTTCATTTTTACACTTGAGTTCCTCGCTTCCATGATGAGTTCAGAGAGAATCTTAATGTGATTCTCGATCTCATCTGCTGTATTGCAAGAATTTTCTCCAATGTTGTCTTCAATGCGGCGTGAAATTTGTGCTTTGAACTTTTTCCAGTTTGCGTTTTTGTAGTCATATCTGTAGACTGTATTTTCAGTTCTGTCGATTTTTGATGTTTTGATTTGGAAATACACAGCGCAGTGATCACTCATTGCCTCTGTGCATTGAAGTTCTGTTGTTTCGAGGTTGGAATTCGAGAGCATCAGGTCAATTCTTGACACTGATTTGTTTCGATCTTCTGGGTAGTACGTTGGCGAGTCAGGAAAGTAGATCATGAACTCTCCTGACATTTCCTGAAGAATATTTCCTGATTTATTTGCAACGTTGCAGTTCCATTCTCGATGTTTTGCATTGAAGTCTCCACAGATGTAGTAATTTCCTCTCAGATTTGTTATTTTGATGATGTCATCTCTCAGATGTAGATCTATTTCCCCTCCTTTGCTTCCTCCTGGGAGATAGACTGAGAGGATGTGACAACTATCTGTGTCATTGATGAAGACTTTGATTCCAATGCATTCCATGCATTTTGTGTTGTAGCTTGGTTGAAGCTGATGTTTTAGATTTCTTTTGACGATGATTGCAACACCACCCTTTGGTCTATCCACGCGATCCAATCGATGAATTACGTAGTCTGGATGCGAGTCAATTTTTGAGTTTGGTTTTAGGAATGTTTCTGAGATGCAAGCAACATCGACGTTTTGCTTGCTTAGGTAGTCGAGAAATGCTAACATTTTGTCAGTGAGGCCGTTAGCATTCCAGTAGAGGACGTTGATACTTTGTTGTCTACAATCCATTATTGTATGCGGTGTTTTTGGCACTTGAGCCGATTGCTTGGAGTATTTCGTCGATGAACTCTGGATTTTTGGCGATTAATTTGAGAAGCTCGCTGATAAGGTACTTGCACTTTGATTCCTCTATTTCTAAGATGTTTTTATCTTTTGTGCTGGTGCTTTGAGCTTGTTGATTAGTTGTTATGTTTCGATTCACTACCTCAACACTGAATGAAGGTTCTGGGAAGACTTCATTCGAGGTCTGACTTGTTGCACTGATGTCTTCTGAGTCCATAAGCTCAACATCTTGCTTTGGTTTTTGATGTTGATTGTTATTAATGCGCTCGTTTTGCTTTTTTCTTTGATTCTTTTTCCAATGTTTTCCTCTTTCTTTATTGTTTTGTTGGTTGTTCAAGTTATTTTTATTTCCCTGATTTGAGGGTTTGTGATTTGGAGGAGGATTTGTGTTCCTTGGTTTGTGGTTGACTGGAACTTGTTTTTGATGAACAGGCTTTTGTGTACCAGATGTTGATGGTTCCATATACTCCTTTCTCCATTGAGGTTTTGGTGCATGTTGGACGTTTCTGGTTGATCTCTCAGGACGATGCGGTGTTGGAGGATTGTTTCTCCGTTGTCCATATGAATAATGGCCTGCTGTTTTGTTTTGATTTTGGTTGTTTCCATTCTGTGATTTTGATTTCCATTTTTCAATTATTTCTTGTCTGGTTTTACAACCTGTGAAAATTGCTGTATGTTTTTCACCGCAGAAGAAACATTTGAGTCTCTTTCGATATGTACTGGCACGTTTTCGAGTCATGTTGCTCAGAGCATCTGAAGCAAACGGACGGTTTGTTACAACCGTTTTGTCCATGACCAAACTGCAGACATTTCGAACATTGAGATGGTCCAGCTTGTCTATTTTTGTAGTCAGCCCATTTAATTTTGAAACTGCTGACAATTTTGATTTTTCTGAGGAATTCCAGGAAATTTCCACCTTGTTCTACATCTTTTTTGAAGTACACGAGGTAGTTCTGGTCGTCGTCTTGTTCGTGTCTTTTGTGTTTCATTGTCATTTTGACAATTTTTACTGGTGTGATTTTTACGGTTTGAAGTTCCTTCTCCAACTCACTGATTTCCATATCTGGGAGTCCATAGAGTACGTACTTCTTCAGTGGTTCTTGGCTGGAGTATGTGTGGAAGTGATGCTTTTTGTCTTTGAGTAGTTGGATGAATTTCCCGTAGTAATCCCAACTCTCCGTTGTTACCGTTTTTGTTCCTTGTTTGCCCTTTTTGGTCTCAATTAAGAAACTTCCAGGTTGATTGTTTATTTCATTCGTCAATCTCTTGATTTCACCAGCTCCTCCTGTGCTGATGACAATTGGAGGTGGTTTTGATTTTTGTTGAGATTTGTTGTTGTTGCTTTCCGTGTTTACGGAAATTATCTTTTGTTGCTCTGATGTTTTGCTGTTTTCTCCCCAGTACGAAGAAGTTGTCGATCTTTTTTTCTCCTGTTCTGGTGAACCAAATAGATACGGTACTCCAGAAGACGAAGCTTTCTTCACTGGTGGGAGTACGAACAGTGGTTTGTTCCCATCTTTTGGTTTGCTTTCGTTTGCTACTCTTTTTAAAAGAGCGTTGGGAACTATCACTTCTCGAGGGCGTTTTTCTGCTTTACTTGCTTCATTGAGAAACTTCTTTATTGATATTTGTTTTTTTGGTTTGAGATTTGTCATCTCAATGTCGGCTGCTTGTGAAACATCTTCACTGAAAATTTCCTCAATATTGAGAATTGTCACTGAAGATGAATGTTGTTGTTGAGAACTATTAAGTCCATGCTGATTTTGAGAAAGATTTTCTTCGTTGTTGGTAGTTTTTGGTGATGCTACCATTTTGATGTTTTGAGAATCAAACTGAGATTTTGAAACTTTTTGCAAACAAAAAGCTTCTCAGGTAGTCTCTGTTTTGTTTATTTAGAGATTTTTGAATAAATTGCGGAGCGATTTGTAAACACGTCTGTTCACGTTGAGATCTAGTTTGCAACTGCGACCTCTTAATCACTGATTTTTCACATTTCATTTAATTTTCAATACACAATGCTTTTTGTACACAAAACTAATCCATGTATATTGAATATGTAATTTTTTCATGGATTGGAATAAATTTTCTATTTGAATTTAGAATTTTCGTTAAAATTTTCTTTGAAATACTTGTTTTTGACTATTTTAATGAACATTATAGTTCGAAACAAATGAATTAACTTAATTTTTCTTTCCAAAGTGCCGAATTAACCTTTTTCATGCCAAATTGCAGTAAAAATATTCACTCACCAAAATTGAAATATGAAATTTCATAAATTTTCATAAAATATGCCAATTACTGTATGGTTTCGAACTGTTTCTTATGTGTTTTAAACTTATCAATGTTTTTCACTATTATTTACACAATAATTACCTCTTAATCACTGATTTTTCACATTTTATTTAATTTTCAATTCACAATGCTTTTTGTACACAAAACTAATCCATGTATGGGCAATTCTTTGGATGACTTTCGGAAAATTTTCAGCAAAAAATCGAAATTTTATTGATTTTTCCCATCAGAGGCACTGATTTTATGACTCTTATCGATGTAAAAATATAAAATGTACACTCCTTTTGATATCATATACTTCTAATCGCTGTATTAATTAAGTTATTTGGATTCTTTTGTCAATAACTCGATGACAGAAATCGGAATTTTCAATTTTCATCATCCAAAGAATCGAAAATTAGAGAAAACTATTGAAATTAACATTGAATAACTTTTACTGAGTTATAGAACAGACAAAAATCTTTAATTAGGTTGCTTTTTTGTGTGCATTAAGTCAGTAATTAATGAAATATTTCAATTCTTTGAAAAATTTCCATGTGTCATCGAGTTATAAAGAAGCTTTTTTTTTGTCTTAAACCGTGAAAAAATACAAAATTTTCAAACATATTTTTTCAATTTTTCACTTAATTTGGGTGAGTTGTAACATTTCAATAGATCACTTGTAAAGAATTAATTATGCTTAATGATCTACGAAAGTTCTGGCTTATTATTCCTTCACAGTAATGCCAAAATGCAGTAATTAAAGTTTCATGCCGAAATGCAGTGATTTAAAGTTTCATGCCAAAATGCAGTAATTAAAGTTTCATGCCGAAATGCAGTTATTTAAAGTTTCATGCCGAAATGCAGTTTTTAAAATTTCATGCCAAAGTGCAGTGATTTAAAGTTTCATGCCGAAATGCAGTTATTTAAAGTTTCATGCCGAAATGCAGTTTTTAAAATTTCATGCCAAAGTGCAGTGATTTAAAGTTTCATGCCAAAATGCAGTAATTAAAGTTTCATGCCGAAATGCAGTTATTTAAAGTTTCATGCCGAAATGCAGTTTTTAAAATTTCATGCCAAAGTGCAGTGATTTAAAGTTTCATGCCAAAATGCAGTAATTAAAGTTTCATGCCGAAATGCAGTTATTTAAAGTTTCATGCCGAAATGCAGTTTTTAAAATTTCATGCCAAAGTGCAGTGATTTAAAGTTTCATGCCAAAATGCAGTAATTAAAGTTTTATGCCGAAATGCAGTTATTTAAAGTTTCATGCCGAAATGCAGTTTTTAAAATTTCATGCCAAAGTGCAGTGATTTAAAGTTTCATGCCAAAATGCAGTAATTAAAGTTTCATGCCGAAATGCAGTTATTTAAAGTTTCATGCCGAAATGCAGTTTTTAAAATTTCATGCCAAAGTGCAGTGATTTAAAGTTTCATGCCAAAATGCAGTAATTAAAGTTTTATGCCGAAATGCAGTTATTTAAAGTTTCATGCCGAAATGCAGTTTTTAAAATTTCATGCCAAAGTGCAGTGATTTAAAGTTTCATGCCAAAATGCAGTAATTAAAGTTTTATGCCGAAATGCAGTTATTTAAAGTTTCATGCCGAAATGCAGTTTTTAAAATTTCATGCCAAAGTGCAGTGATTTAAAGTTTCATGCCAAAATGCAGTAATTAAAGTTTCATGCCAAAATGCAGTAATTAAAGTTTCATGCCGAAATGCAGTGATTTAAAGTTTCATGCCAAAATGCAGTAATTAAAGTTTCATGCCGAAATGCAGTGATTTAAAGTTTCATGCCAAAATGCAGTAATTAAAGTTTCATGCCGAAATGCAGTGATTTAAAGTTTCATGCCAAAATGCAGTTTTTAAAATTTCATGCCAAAGTGCAGTGATTTAAAGTTTCATGCCAAAATGCAGTAATTAAAGTTTCATGCCGAAATGCAGTTATTTAAAGTTTCATGCCGAAATGCAGTTTTTAAAATTTCATGCCAAAGTGCAGTGATTTAAAGTTTCATGCCAAAATGCAGTAATTAAAGTTTCATGCCGAAATGCAGTTATTTAAAGTTTCATGCCGAAATGCAGTTTTTAAAATTTCATGCCAAAGTGCAGTGATTTAAAGTTTCATGCCAAAATGCAGTAATTAAAGTTTTATGCCGAAATGCAGTTATTTAAAGTTTCATGCCGAAATGCAGTTTTTAAAATTTCATGCCAAAGTGCAGTGATTTAAAGTTTCATGCCAAAATGCAGTAATTAAAGTTTCATGCCGAAATGCAGTTATTTAAAGTTTCATGCCGAAATGCAGTTTTTAAAATTTCATGCCAAAGTGCAGTGATTTAAAGTTTCATGCCAAAATGCAGTAATTAAAGTTTTATGCCGAAATGCAGTTATTTAAAGTTTCATGCCGAAATGCAGTTTTTAAAATTTCATGCCAAAGTGCAGTGATTTAAAGTTTCATGCCAAAATGCAGTAATTAAAGTTTTATGCCGAAATGCAGTTATTTAAAGTTTCATGCCGAAATGCAGTTTTTAAAATTTCATGCCAAAGTGCAGTGATTTAAAGTTTCATGCCAAAATGCAGTAATTAAAGTTTCATGCCAAAATGCAGTAATTAAAGTTTCATGCCGAAATGCAGTGATTTAAAGTTTCATGCCAAAATGCAGTAATTAAAGTTTCATGCCGAAATGCAGTGATTTAAAGTTTCATGCCAAAATGCAGTAATTAAAGTTTCATGCCGAAATGCAGTGATTTAAAGTTTCATGCCAAAATGCAGTTTTTAAAATTTCATGCCAAAGTACATGATTTAAAGTTTCATGCCAAAATGCAGTAATTAAAGTTTCATGCCGAAATGCAGTTATTTAAAGTTTCATGCCGAAATGCAGTTTTTAAAATTTCATGCCAAAGTGCAGTGATTTAAAGTTTCATGCCAAAATGCAGTAATTAAAGTTTCATGCCGAAATGCAGTGATTTAAAGTTTCATGCCAAAATGCAGTAATTAAAGTTTCATGCCGAAATGCAGTTATTTAAAGTTTCATGCCGAAATACAGTTTTTAAAATTTCATGCCAAAGTGCAGTGATTTAAAGTTTCATGCCGAAATGCAGTTATTTAAAGTTTCATGCCGAAATGCAGTTTTTAAAATTTCATGCCAAAGTGCAGTGATTTAAAGTTTCATGCCAAAATGCAGTAATTAAAGTTTCATGCCGAAATGCAGTTATTTAAAGTTTCATGCCGAAATGCAGTTTTTAAAATTTCATGCCAAAGTGCAGTGATTTAAAGTTTCATGCCAAAATGCAGTAATTAAAGTTTCATGCCGAAATGCAGTTATTTAAAGTTTCATGCCGAAATGCAGTTTTTAAAATTTCATGCCAAAGTGCAGTGATTTAAAGTTTCATGCCAAAATGCAGTAATTAAAGTTTTATGCCGAAATGCAGTTATTTAAAGTTTCATGCCGAAATGCAGTTTTTAAAATTTCATGCCAAAGTGCAGTGATTTAAAGTTTCATGCCAAAATGCAGTAATTAAAGTTTCATGCCGAAATGCAGTTATTTAAAGTTTCATGCCGAAATGCAGTTTTTAAAATTTCATGCCAAAGTGCAGTGATTTAAAGTTTCATGCCAAAATGCAGTAATTAAAGTTTCATGCCGAAATGCAGTTATTTAAAGTTTCATGCCGAAATGCAGTTTTTAAAATTTCATGCCAAAGTGCAGTGATTTAAAGTTTCATGCCGAAATGCAGTTATTTAAAGTTTCATGCCGAAATGCAGTTTTTAAAATTTCATGCCAAAGTGCAGTGATTTAAAGTTTCATGCCAAAATGCAGTAATTAAAGTTTCATGCCGAAATGCAGTTATTTAAAGTTTCATGCCGAAATGCAGTTTTTAAAATTTCATGCCAAAGTGCAGTGATTTAAAGTTTCATGCCAAAATGCAGTAATTAAAGTTTCATGCCGAAATGCAGTGATTTAAAGTTTCATGCCAAAATGCAGTAATTAAAGTTTCATGCCGAAATGCAATGATTTAAAGTTTCATGCCAAAATGCAGTTTTTAAAATTTCATGCCAAAGTGCAGTGATTTAAAGTTTCATGCCGAAATGCAGTAATTGAAGTTTCATATTTACTCACCAAAATTGAAATATGAAATTTCATAAATTTTCATAAAATATGCCAATTACTGTATGGTTTCGAACTGTTTCTTATGTGCTTTAAACTTATCAATGTTTTTCACTATTATTTACACAATAATTACCTCTAAATCACTGATTTTTCACATTTTATTTAATTTTCAATTTACAATGCTTTTTGTACACAAAACTAATCCATGTATATTGAATATGTAATTTTTTCATGGATTGGAATAAATTTTCTATTTGAATTTAGAATTTTCGTTAAAATTTTCTTTGAAATACTTGTTTTTGACTATTTTAATGAACATTATAGTTCGAAACAAATGAATTATCTTAATTTTTCTTTCCAAAGTGCCGAATTAACCTTTTTCATGCCAAATTGCAGTAAAAATATTCACTCACCAAAATTGAAATATGAAATTTCATAAATTTTCATAAAATATGCCAATTACTGTATGGTTTCGAACGGTTTCTTATGTGTTTTAAACTTATCAATGTTTTTCACTATTATTTACACAATAATTACCTCTTAATCACTGATTTTTCACATTTTATTTAATTTTCAATTCACAATGCTTTTTGTACACAAAACTAATCCATGTATATTGAATATGTAATTTTTTCATGGATTGGAATAAATTTTCTATTTGAATTTAGAATTTTCGTTAAAATTTTCTTTGAAATACTTGTTTTTGACTATTTTAATGAACATTATAGTTCGAAACAAATGAATTAACTTAATTTTTCTTTCCAAAGTGCCGAATTAACCTTTTTCATGCCAAATTGCAGTAAAAATATTCACTCACCAAAATTGAAATATGAAATTTCATAAATTTTCATAAAATATGCCAATTACTGTATGGTTTCGAACTGTTTCTTATGTGTTTTAAACTTATCAATG